GAAGTTATAAAATGACAAGCTAACTTATGGCATACTAGTCAATTAATAACTGAAAAAACTGCCAATCACAAAAATGGTATGCGAAACATTACCTTTTTACACTACACATATACTTAGCAAGAGCTTCTGCAAGCAGTAGAGCTCTACAGGAGCTCTTTTATCATCGTATCACTGTTCTGCATCTGAAATCCTCGAAACGTCTGCTTACATTGCTATAATGAATAATGACAACAAAAGCAAGAATATCGCTTGAAATCGATTAACGCTTCATTATTCGCTTAAAGTCCTTATTGTAAACATATATACATACATAAAAGCATATGTATGAAAATGAAACTTTGTCTGCTGCGCATATATGCGATTGTTTAAATAAATAATTTTCTGCACATTTTGCACTTTGTCAGCGACATTGGTCCATCTGTCGCTCGCATTACATGCCAAAGTCCTACTTACAGGCATACTTAACTACAGAAAGTCCAAGGACAGCGAACTTAAATTGTTAACTCACTTTGAGAAAGGTTGCAGCGAAAGAAGGGAAATAATGTTTATTTTATGCATGTAAAATACAATTTTGTACTCAGCCTGCCATTGTCCAGCTACAGGCATTGTTACGACTCCAGCTACGAGCATACACACTAGCAAAAGCATTCAGGTCATTCTGCGTATTGTGAGTGGAACCCTAAAAGAAAAATGCCACTGGCTTCAAAACTGACCATATGTGCCAGCAAGCCTGAGAAACTTCGACGTTTTGAGTTCGGTTTGGGCGCCGTAGTTGTTATTTTCAAATACTGCAGATAAAGTTTATACTTTTGTGGAAAATTAAATGTTTTTAACTGCCAATAATATGCTTACTATACTAGATCTTCACACAATACTTCCGGTTTTTGAAAGTCTTACTAAAATTACTTGTATAAAATTCTTCTTCCCCTCTGCCGTATTTGTTCCAAGCGAGCGCGCCATTGACGCTTACTTCCACACAAGTATAGAGTTGTACGCCTTTTCTCCGTCTTAATGCAACGCGCGCTGTACAACCTACGTCCACTAGGCACTGCGAAAGTGTCGAGCAAAGTAACGAATGAATTTGTAAATATTTTATGAGCCTATGTGAGCAAATGAAAGCCCATTCCGACAGCAACAACTACAGTGCATACTCAAATAACTCGCGAGTCTGGGTGTGAGTGTGTTTGTGTGTTCGCACTTTAGTAGTGTGCGAAATGATTTTACTGCCCTGGTGGCACATTAGTAGTCTATATGGGGTCCATTAATATTTTGACAGTCACAGGCACAGCAATCGGCAGCGTCGCATCTGCATCGTCGATGTTCTTTGGCATCTGACACCGCCAAGCCAACGGTGTGTCCTCCACTACAACTCTGTTGTTTTTGTAATACTCACCTTGGCACAGGCACACATATGCACCGTTAATGCGCCTCCAGCTCACACATTCCATTTGATGGCGGCCCGCTATCCTTTTACTTTCTACTTTTCTCTACTTCGGTGCGTCTCTGGGGAACTGCACACCAGGCATACAACCTGGAAGGTGCGATAAATAAGTGCAAGCGAGCGTGTAAGTGAATTTTTTATGCACTGTCCTGTGTGTACATGTGTGTGTGTGTGTACAAATTAATTTGCGCTCGCACATTTGTCTGCGATATGTTTATTTTCACGATATTTTCCTTAACATTTCCATTTGAACTTATTGGCGAGGTGTGCTTTCAATACACAGGTACATTGTACATTGTCAAACAACAACAACTGCAGCGCAACACTGGTCGCAAAATTTCATTGTTACGATGGCATTTTTGATTATCGCCGAAAAGTATTTGCGAGTGCTGCGAGAAGGTGGGGGTCAAGCAATTTTTGCTAACAGCCACTTCTTATGCAAAGAAAGCGTGTTATTAATATTAATTTTCCATATGCAATCTCATCCAAATACAAAATACTTACATCTGCCATTTTTATATAACATTTTTTATTATATAATAATACTGTTGCTTAGTTAAGTATGGATTAAGCAGATTAAAGCTTGTTATTTCTGCCCTGAATGGCTCTCATAAATATTTATGATTATTACACTTGTATGGCTGGTTGTGCAATTTAGTCAATCAGGGACTCGCAAGTTAAAGTAAGGAGTGAAAGCAACCATTCCTCAAAAGTACTTCAGTTCAGTTAAGAGGTTATAGCCACTTCTGCATTTAAAAAAATTTAGTTTCTTTTTTAGTTTATGTATAGAATGTCAATATATTTAAACCAAAATGTGACAAAAAAGTACCCGGAAATTGTAAATAAAGCGCAAATTATTTAATTATCAACATTTATTTCGTCGCCTTCAAAGTAATCCTCGCCAGATCTAATAGACTTACGCCAACGATTTTACGAGTACTCAAAACACCTTTCATATGCTTTTTGGGTTGGCCTTCAGCTCCATGAGCGAGTTTTGCTGTACCTTCGCACGATCAAGCATGTTCAAAGAGACCTGTTTCCAGTACTCTATTTGAAAAAAGTTCAGCTATATAGGAACGAGTCGACCAACAGTGCGTTTCATACCCAAAATATCCACCAAAATCATTCGAACGAAAAGTTGTCGAGCTCTCTTGCCATCCCTCTATTACCTAGGGAATTTAATTGCAATTTCCCGGTCCTTTTTTGCCACAATGCATTCTTCGACGATTTCACGTTGTTCCGCAGATTTGAGGCTTTTCTCGAAATGGCTTGACCGATGAACTTAATTTTTTTTCTTCGAATTGAATTTGATCTCGTTAATGAAGGAATATGATGGTTTTTAAATATTTTCGATTATTTACAAGCTGTACTGTAATTTTGTAATGTGTATTTTTGATTAAAAAACACACTTTTCGATTTGAAGGGCGTCATATTTAACAAAATCGAAAATTTTACTAGTTCTTCGATAAATACCTGTATTCGTCTATACAATATTATATAATAGTTAATTTTTCTCTATTGAACAGTATTTTTTTATTCGCTTTTTGGTTTTGAGATACTTTTAAGCAGAAAAATCTAGACATTATTTTTCAGTCGTGCTCCTGAGGATAGGATGGATTATTAATCTACGTTAAATATCTTTAAAAAAGCATTATTTTATTTCTTTATTAAATTTTGAGTTATTATTTATTACATTCATTACTAAAATTATGATATATATTTATTAGATTTTCTAAAAGAAAATCACAAAACACGCGATTTTTCTAACTTGTGAGTGGATATACCGACTTTAAGACACTTGATTGTTCCTCTTGATGACTGCTTAGTGCTTGAGCAGTATTCAAAAACATAACAAATGCAAATATTATATAAAATAATTAATAAAATTTTGATCAACTTTGATATCTCACTAACTCTAAGGAACAGAAACTAATACCTTCCCTCGTTTAAAAATTTTGTTTAATTGATTTAATATAAATAAACATTACTACTAAAAGTAAGATAGAAATTTAATTTAAATATTGCTAGTGAATGTTTAGACATTCAAAAGTTTTTATGCGCCTAAAAGCATCGAAGTTCGAAAATTTTAAAATTTTATGGTTCAAATATCATGGATATCAGCGTCATAATTCCAAAAGATACAACAACTTACTACAAAAATCGTACTTCAACTTAGTAGTTGAAATTTTAAAAATATTAGTGCATACTTTCAGGCGCAGTGTTCATTTAACGTTGTCTACAATTCAGTAGTTAAAATTTTAGAAATATTTTTTGCATACTTTTAGGCGCATTTGACATTCACCGTTTCATCTTTTGCTGCTTTAACTGCACAAGTTGCAGAGATCCGAGACAAATTTGATAGCTGCTTGGAAAAATATCAGCTTCAGTTATATTTGTGGCACGAAAAATAATTAAATTTGGGCAACAAAAATTTTGTGCGGTAATTTCGCCTAAAAGCATCTACTTGCAAAGAAAAAGCATACTCTTTTCGAAAATTTTTCAGTCCATGATTTTCTCAGCTTGCCACATGCTATTGTTTACTAAATTACGGTATCGATAACACATTTCATTATACTATGTAGCATTGCACACAACTGTATACCGCTGCAGTAGTTTTTGACAATTGCATTTTTACTTGCACATCTGTCAGTCTGTTGCCTATTATGACCGCAGGCGCAAAGTCATAAGAAGAAGTGGTATCTTAGACCTGATGCAAACAGCTTGTTGCCACATTTCACAAGAAAGATTTTCTTAGTAAGTTGAAGGGAAACAGAATGCAGTTATATATGGCATACATGTGTACATAATCAGGACATCGGTATACATACATAAATATATGCATATGTACATAGCTATATACATATATATGTTTGCATAAGTCATCAAACTCAACAGCACTTTAGCTGCATTCTTTTACTTATAAGTTTACTGTCCTACTAAGTCCTATATCATCAATGGATATTGCGGGAACATATACGTACATATACATATAGTAAGGACGTGAATATGAGTAAACTTATGGCCAAAAGTTAACAACTTTTTCTATTTCGATTCAATAGTCGAGCTAAAGCGCCCGTTTTTGCCAGAGCACCTCACCATATCTTCTTCCCCATCTTCTCCAAGCCTACACTTTTATATGGTGACAGTTACATTTATCGCTAGAAGTTTATAAATATTTCGCCATAAAAAAGGTGTGCAATTTGCAACTGAAACCGGTGACCAATAAATAAGTTTGAAACGTGCAAAGTTGCTTTAACGGCGCAAACATTTTCCTCCACAGCAAGTTTATGCCTACACAAACATACATATTTTACGACAAACATAAACAGTTCCATCGAACCGATATTTATTTGCACATGCCTGGCATTTGTAAGGTCATTTATCTCCCATGTCTTCAACCCGCATAATAGTTGTGAGCCAAATTTGCACCAAATAACCCTACGAAAGTGTACCTTTGCTATTTTATATAGAATATTTGTAAATATGTGTATATTTGCACATATTTTGTTGTTGTATGCATGAATTCACGAATTTTGCCTCTCTTTCAACTATTTTGCAGCTATGAGTCACCTTGACAAATTGCGCTTGTGGGGTAAGGCGATACGTGTTATGGCTAGTAAACATCAGGCTGTGCAGCTGCCGAAGGAAGGACAACCGGATGCCGGCCTCACACGCGACTACTCACAAAATCCATTGCATCGATTCAAGAAACCGGGCAGCAAAAATTATCAAAACATTTATCCACCATCGGCCACATTGCATTTAAGTAACATTCCGTAAGTACAAACTCTAAATTACTTTTTAAATTTGTAGAAAAAATATTTTAGTAAAAGAAAAAAACGAAAACGGAAAGTACATATGTATGATGAATGTGTGTTGAAAGGCGTTGAACCATCTCTTTATAATTTGCGTGCTGAAAATTTGAGGACTTTAAGGTCCTGGAACGTTTAACAGCTCTCAAAAAATGTTATAGACCTGAGAGAAAAGGCATTAAAAAAGCCACGAGGCCAACGGATATTATATTGATGAAGGAGGTTATAGAGAACAATGAAAACCAAATGTATTTTTCCAAAAACACAAAATGCAAGTTCAACTAAGCTTACTCCTGTTCGAGAGAAATAGAGAAAGAGATAGCGGGAGAGATGGAGAGAGATAAAGCAGCAAGATAGAATTTCTTGAAAGTTTTCAGCACGTAAAGTGGCAAACACACCTCACTATATAAAAACAGCATGTAATTATCATTCAATCTTCACTATGACCACCGGCAGTATTTAACTTTCCCAATGCATTCCAGAATGAAGCGCTTGACCGCCATTATTCTTATGTAAACTCGAGCATATTTCTCACTCACACAACAAATACCAAATGATATGGTGCCACAAAAACCGTTCACACTGGAGTCGAGCCTAAGTAACCAGAACGGACCGGAATTTTTATCCGGCCAAGGACAACAGGCCATCTCGGAACCATTCCTTAAAATTTCTTCCGCTACAACAGCAACATGCCACAAAGACGCTTGTCAAAGATCAACGTACTATCCGAGTCGTCAGCGCGGGCATGCTTTTCCCCCGGTACACCGGCGTACATCATGGATTTGGTCAATTCATAAGCTTTTGCACGTTTTTCCAACGAATTACCGCTATATCAACTGCATGTATCGTCGATGCCAATTGCTATTCTCATTTAATAAGCCCCAGCCGTAAGTTCGTACCATTGTGCCAGCGCTCGGTGTCATCATCGTCATTTGGATCGGTTGTATATTGGGTCCATAAAGCTTGCGTGTCAGCTTCAGCACTGTCAAATCATTATTGAGTGCTCTTTACCTCCAACCGCGCGGTAAATACTACTTATACACCGGACTCTGCCAGCCGTTCTGCGTGCCACACGCAGTTCCGCCATTATAAAAAATTCGCCAGATTGCGATGGAACTTTCCATTGTACTCAATGGAGCCACTCAAGCCACGGACGGAGCTTATGTATATAGCTTTCCGATCTAGAAAATTTAAGATTTCTATCTAAAGAACTGAGAACTCTTTCTAAGTTTAGTCTCAAAGCTAAGAAAACAAGCTGTGTCAAGGATTCATTCTATAAGGGTAGTAAATGGAATTGTAACCGAGTACATTGAGAATTTGACTAGCAACCGTTGGATTTTAGGTTAAAATGAATAAAGTTCATTTCTGACGTGCTTTGTAGGAGTCGCTCAGAGATTTTAAGCTTTCAGGACATAATTCACTATTCTGATAACATGTAAAATATTACCTTAAATTGATGAAACATAAATTTTCTGGCAACAGCAAGCTTTCATAGCGCACACAAAAGCACAGCAGCATGGCGACGTTTACTCTCGCAACGCATTACCGTGCTTCGTGTCCGATCGCCTTCTTTTGTGTTATATCCGTTGAACCACCGAGCAACAGCAGAAGCAGTTTCACCCAATTACAATTACCGTTATAGTGCGCCCGTTGACTGCACACGAATGGCGCGCAGCAACACGCCCTTCAAAGCTATCAGCCATGCGCTCATGCGACACAGCGCATCTTCAGCCAATAAACATAATTTTAGTATTATTTCATTAGCTCCTGTTGTTGAAAGCACACGTCGAAGAGGTTCAACGGTTAAGCAAGGCAAATTTCCTTCGCCTTCTATCGCTGCCTTCGCACCTTCTTTCAAGCAAATTGGCTGTTTTCGTAAATTTAAGCTTCGACACCTTCTCATGCAACACCGTCGCAGTGCTCGGCTGGTCACCTCGCCGGTATCGTAGCAGGCGGTAAAGGGGCTGTTGTATCTACCGGGTGCCACCTGCAGTTAAAATTATTAAATTTCTACTCACCTGCTGTGTGTCTAGAGACAACAGCAAAAACTATCATGACGCAAAAATAACAAGCGACGGCTAAATTTAAACGTGCCACACTCGACGCAGCGGCGCTTCAATGCCAAATACAATGGGCGCAGCTTAAAGGGTAAACGGTGGAAGCGCACACACAAGTGGTTGATTGTTGGCTACCAGCCGGTGGAGCGCGCGCTAAGGCAATAAGGGAATGTATATGCAGAGATGGTTACACTCAAGTGCGCTTACMGGCTCGAAACCTGGAACGCGCTGCTCAAAGCTCAAGTAGCTGGTAGCGTGAAATTGAAAAGATTGTCGATGGCGCAGATGGCTAAGTAAAGAAGCAATTTGCAATTCGGCAAGAGCGCCGCGTGAGGTGTTGTTGCGTGGCAAGGATTGTGCAATAGCTAGGAAAATTGATGCGAAATTGCAGCAAGGAGCACGCAACCACACATACATACACATATATAAAAACATATGCAAAATACATATATAGTATATACGTATGAAGCACTTTAAAGAAATTTTAATTTTTTTATTAATTGCTTTTTGTGCTCTCTTCTTGTGTATTGTTTTTTCTTTTGAACAGATCATCGTGCACTGAGGAAGATATCAAGGAAGCATTCACCTCCAACAATTTTGAAGTCAAAGCATTCAAGTTTTTCCCGTAAGTTGACATGTTAAGAAAATTGGATAATTAATAATGTATTATTTTGTTATTAAATATATATATATATATATTTTTTTATTTCTATCTTTTTTTTTAATATTTTTTTTTTTTTTTGTTTTTACTTGGATAGCCCTTTTTAGAGGTGTCTATGAAACTATTTTTCAGAGTAAGAAACGTAAAAAATATTGCAAAATTTGTTTGACCCACCCTAATGTATATTTTTAGATGGGAGAATCAAAGCTCTTGCTAATGCCTTGCGTAAAGATCCATTCTTTGCTTGAATTTAACTTTCAGACATTTAATTTCCTAATCATCAATTGCAAAATTCGTTGCTTTTGACCCACCCTAATGTGTATTTTCAGACAGATCAATTCTGTGGTTGAACTTAACCCTTAACTTTTTCTTCTGATTTGCTTTTTTTATTTTGGCCTGCCGAACTGTTCTCTGCGTGGTCTCTATTTCAACAGTTTACAACCATGTGGTATACGATACGATATATAATTTCAAGTCCATGTGATATACGATGTATGAAACATTGTCGAAATTGTTTGGCTTTTGTTAGAAGTATCTCCATCTGTTCATGAGAGTTCTGTGTTCTCACTGAAGACAAGGTTTACCCATAATGCGAGGTTATAAATTAGTTTTTTATAAACATCAGTTCTATGATCGATATTAAATCTTCTCTTTTCAACATCCCACGCATTATTCATTAATTTAATTTTATTTTTTAATTCTAATTTTAATATTTTTNCAGTGACCGGTTGGGGGCGGCTCAGTGAGGGCGGTACACTGGCGTCCGTATTACAAGAGGTATTCAAATTGAGTCATTTTATCAATATTATTTCATTTTTTTTTTGGTTTTGTTCATTAAGGTGTCGGTGCCGATTGTGAGTAACGGCATTTGCGAGTCGATGTTTGCGCGCGCCGGACGCCAGGAGTCGATACCGGATATATTCGTGTGTGCGGGTTATGAGAATGGTGGACATGACTCGTGTCAGGGTGACTCTGGTGGACCGTTACAGGTGGGTGTGGCGTCTGTTTGCTTGCGAGATATTTTTTTAAATATTTATTTCTGCAAAATTTTGTTTCAACATTTTTATTAATTTTTCCAATATTTTTATTTATGCAATATTTTTAATTCTTTCAATATTTTTGTTTTTTTTTTCAAACTTTTATTTTATTTCTTTAATTACTCTTTCTTAGTAAAAATCTTAAATGAATAATTTATATATTCTCCTACTCTGCATCCTCTTTTACAGTAAGGACCGCAAAATGGCGCTCCTGCAGCTCTCGTCGGTGGAAGAAGCCGTCTTGGCGCTCATCAAAATGCACAATCACCAGCTTTCCGAATCGAATCACTTGCGCGTCAGCTTCTCCAAGTCGAACATCTAAGCCACAACAACAGCAACAGCAACAACAACAACACAACTACTTTATACAAATAAATGCATGCAGGTGCATGTGCAAAGTGTAATCAGCTGCAGCGCGCATAAGTAAAAGCATAGATGTGAAGCAACAACAACAACATAGCAAACAATAGACAGAGGAAGCAATAGGTGCAGAAATGTAAAATACGCGACTACAAAATGACCACATAGAAAAAATCGCAAACAAAAAATCAGCAAACAATAGCAACAACAACAAATAATAAGAAACACAAGAAGAACAGCAACAACAAACAAGTAATCAACAAGGATCACTACATATATACAACAACAACTATACTATTCTAAATAGCAACGGCAGCAGAAGCAACAACAACAACTAAATTTGTAGTGTACTCATTTAATGATCAGCCCCAACTACGGGAACTCTGTATAGCAACAACAAAGAACTAACTCTAAACAGCCCCAATCACTAGGGGATAAATCTATATATATATTCATATACATATGTATATATGCTTATATATGTGCGTCACTATTTCACTATATTTTTTTTTTTTTACATTTGTATTTTTATTCAGCGAAAATTATTGCTACACCCCTTATTAATTATTACTTTTATTATTAATGATACAACTTTAACACATAACACATACATATAGAAGTGTACTACATACATATACATAGATTAGATATTTTTTGGAGCAAATTTTACGCGTTAGCGGTAAATCCATAGAAAAATCCAGAGAAAACAATAGCACAGACAAGAAAATTCGGAAACCCCCCCAACCACCTACCAGCATTTCGCAACTGCTCACATGCAAGTGTACATGACAACCTCTAGAACACTAAAATCAACAACAACAACAACAACAATAGCAGCAACTAACCGATATTTTGGTGTTAAATCTATTACATAAAACAACAACAACAACAGAAACAAAAACAAATTACATTAATATAGTTATACTGTAATATTTTATGTAAGCACAATAAGAGAAAGAAAAACAAAAACAAAAACAATTTCAAAATTTAAAATAATATTAATTATAATATAATATGTATTACATGTATGCGCTGAATTGAGAGGAGTGAGTATTCACGGTATTGTTAAAGAGCAGAGATGTTAAAGAGCAAACGCTGATCAAACAGCAAATTGCGAAAAAACTAAAATTAAAATTAAAAACAAAATAATAATAAATTTAAAAATTACATTAAAGAAAATTTATGATTTTTTACTAGGCATAGCAGAAGATATATATATACATAGATATACATAAGTGAAAGTAAAACTTAAAGCAGAAGAGAGAAATATGCGTTAAATGCGATAAATATTTTAGAGAGCTGTGTTTCGTTTTAAAAAACATGCAGAACAAAAACTAAGCAAACAAAAAGAAAATATATAAATAACGGACAAAATGCAACTGAAGGAAGTGACAATTGAAAATATGCGCCTAAAGCTATGCAAATGCGTTAGTATGACGACATACATACATACAAACAAACAAACACATTATGGCAAATTCATGTCCTTGCTGCTAAATGTTATAAATTAAAGTTTAATTACACATAAATTATTAGTATTGAATATTTAATTATAGACAAAATGGAATTTTATTTTAAATTAATCGATTTAGGTTTAAGAAAAAAAACCATACTTTAAGCAAATTAAAGTAAGGGCGGCAGATTTACACACATGCACGCGTGCAAAAATGCGTGAGCGCAGATTTATTATTAGAGCGCAGCTTGAAAAGGCAACAGAACAAATTAAGAGTTGAGAGAAATCACGAAATTAAAAAAGTCAAGAAAGCAAAGTAAAAAAAAAGAAAAAAGCAGTTGTGTAAAAGCAAAAAAGAATGCTGAGCTAATCACAAAACAAAAAAGTGCATGTGCAAGTGCAACTACATATGTGTAAAATTTATGAATTATTGATAATCAGCTGCACACACATACATAAACATATGCATGCACCACTGAGTTCGACAACGTAATCAATAAGTGAAGTACCACACAAAAATATTTTTAAAAAATATTATTAATTGGAATTAACGCTGCGAGTTGCAAAGACGGAGTAAAAATGCGCTTAACTTAACTTAACAAAAGGAAGTAAACATTCAAGCATGGTGAAACATGTTCAAATATGTTTTCAAGCAACCTTAAACGTGATCAAGCTTGTTCAAGCAAACATGTTAAGGCATGTGCAAACATGCTCAAGTATATTCAAGCTTGCTCAAGCACGCTCAAACATGTTCAAATATGATAAAGCATGATCAAGCTTGTTCAAGAAAACGTATTTAAGCATGCTCAAGCATATGCGAGCATGTTCAAGCGTGTTCAAACATGCTCAAGCAGATGCAAACATGTTCAATCATATAAGTTGTAGCGTGTTTGATTTGAATTTTATTTTTTACATATAAATATACCCGAAGCTGCGGTATTTTTAGTATTATCCCTTAGCAAGCAAGGTGAATGTGAAATTTATTATTAAAAAAGTTAAAATAAACAACAAAATTTATTAGAGAAATTCAAAACGCAGCAAGCTTGGCGGCAGCGCTTGAAGTGGCAAATCATAACTGTAAATGTAACAAAGCATGCATATATACACATAGTATATTGTAAAACTGAAAAGAATTTAAACAGAACAAATACAAATCAGTATATTATTATATACAAAAGCAAAAAAACAAAAATACAAAAACAAAAAAAATAAATACAAATGCGTAAGCAGAGAAGTGAAAACTATAAGTGTGAAATTGTATTGTAATTTTTATGTAAACCAATCAAAACTGTTTGTTCGTTTTATTATAGTAAATCTTAAGCCAAGTATGATAAAAAAAAAGAAACGTCAAAATACAATAAAATCAAACTTAAACTGACTCATACATACTCTTATGAAGGTGGTAAAGCTGATTTGAGATTGTAAGTGCTTCGCGCAAGTTGAGGGCGGAAGATTAGAATAGTCGAATTTTTAGGTTAGGTGTGAAAATATATTATTTTTTATGCAATATTTGCAACAATAATTCTTCGAAATTGTTTCTGGCTGCTTTATGAAGCTAGTCAATGTTAGGAAAATCACTTCTATGGCAAGCTATGTTATACGAAACTAAAGCGGATCTTTGAAAACCTTATACCCTTGGAACTTGGGTCAGGGATGATTTTGAAACTTTTTTGTTTTTAATAAAGAGTTCGAAATTTTTCGTCACATGTTCGAGTCTTCGGAAACATATGTCTGTAGATCTAGCATTTATATTCATATAGTCTCTCCGACCATAGTATTTTCGCTAACGAATAAAAAAGGTGCTGCCAGCGCCGCCAAATGAAAAATTACAAACAATGTATTATTTCTAAACTCAAAAAAAATAAGAAAATTCGACATAGAATTATGTCTGAGAAATGAAGGAGAAAAAAAATCTGGAGAAAGTGGTTTAAAACTGATTTAAAATATTTCGTTTCTAACTTCAAAAATTTAAAATTTAAATAACCGCCGAAGTGCAAGCGAACCACAACAACTGTTCAGGAGCAATAACGGCAAATCAGCAGAAGCACAAGAGAAAACAAATCACAAATACATGAATAGCATCGCCAATCAGCTCAAACAAACTCACTTTAAAGTGAGCGATAATTAGGGAATATCTTAAAAAGAAACATAATAAAAACCGTTAAACAAGAGGAGGAGGCGGCAGCGGTGCAGCAGACACTTTTAAGTAGAACATGAGGTATTCAGAAGCACAACAACAACTGCTGAGAAACTTGGATGATGTGAATAGCCGCGTGTGGACACGCAAGTATACAAATTCTCGAAGCAGTGAAGTGGAAGCGTGGAACGGCCTGCACCGAAGTGGCGAAGAAACCGTTAAGCGGACAAAACTCGTGTTCAGCACATAAACAATATGTATGTAGCAGACAATTTACACACATGCATACATACAAATAAAAAGGCAGTTAGAGATTACAAAATAAAACAAGCGAGAAAACATGGATTATAATAAAAGCAAAAAACAACAAAAAAGAATATATATACATACATATATATTGCAAAAACGGCAACAAGAAATTGCAATTAAATTTTGAATGTATTTTTTAGTTAAAATATAAATTTATTAATATTTAAATAGAACAAATACGAAAACGAAAAATTAATAAAAAATGCATTAATATATAATATACAATATTATATAATATATAATAAGTAAGAAGTGAATGTATTTAAATTTATTAACGTACATATACCTATACATACAAGTACATAGCAAATAGCGGCATGCAGACGACGCATCAGGATAAACGAAGCAAAACAAAAACAAAAAGTGAACAATTTTAACTGTGTCGTGTTTTTGAAGCAAATTTGCGAACAAAATAGAATTTATTGTAACACGTGGTCATAAGTATATGAAATATGAAGAAAATATGTGAAAAACAAATAATATATACCAGCGAAGAAGTGTGTAGAAGCAACCGAAAGTCATACAAAAACAACACAAGCATGAAAACCATATTAACAGTTACATGCTTACAAAATAGTGTGTGGATATCATATATATTAATATCCTTTACGGTGCATAATTTTTGTTATAGGCACTTTTTTATTTAATTATTTTTTGATAATTTTTATTTTATTTTTTTTTTA